TGTAATTGTTGAAACTAATGGTTTTCACCAAGTTTCTTAAAAAAAAAAACTAATTTGCATGTATTTACAATTTATAACCATACATAATATATTAAGTTTTATATTTATACTGATAATTAATTCAATAATATACATCCATATCTACTTATTATAAATAAATATGTTTAACTTAAAAAATAATCATTAATTATACTGTATTGTACATTTATGTCTACATAGATATCAGAATTATGAACATTTGCAAAAATTAAATTAAATTATAGAGTGGTAAAAAAAAATCTAACTGATTTAAAAGTTCTATAATTTTTAATTATTTTACATTAAGTTTAGTATAAAAAGAAAAATATTCAAGGAATTTAAATCATAATACGTTTTATGCCCTTTTTTACTAATGAATTACTCGATTAAACAGAAATAATGCAGTAGAAAAAAGTTTAAGACTTCAAATGCTATTAGGTAAATGATAATCATTAAAACTTGATATTTTAATTCTGCATTATTCATAAACGGAAACAATTATTTTAATATACGTACACTGGTATATATACATTTATTCTGTATTTAAATAAATTACGCTTTAGAAACTATTTATAATCAGTTATTTGAAACCTAAAGCAATATTAACTGTTATAAAAAATATCAAATACATTAAAATTTTAAAAATATGCGAGTTTATACTTTCTTTAACTTTTGATAGATGTATAGTTTTTTATAAACTCAAAACTATTATTTTAATATCATAACAATAGTTCTTTCCTAGTCATAACTTTTCTCAATGTCATACTTTTGTTCACCTTTGAATGTATAAACAATTTGATGTCTCTTTTGTTTCATAGTTATGGAATAATTATGAATTTATTTTGATAGTTGTTATTATATGTTGGTAGATATACGTCATAGATTTATCGCATATAAAAATAAACATACATTTATATGTTTATAGTATGCTTATATACTAGAGGGCCCGAAAATTGGGCCATTTAATTTTTACATTTACGTAAATTTACGTAAACTCGGTAATTGGGCTATTATTATAAAAAAGCATAAAATCATCAAACCTCATGAAATAAATTTTAATTAGAAAGAATTAAACTTTTCATTTCATTAAAAATATGAAGGGAAAAACCCAGATTTTATGAAATCTGTATCACGTTATTTAACTAATTATATATATATATAGTTTCATATTGTTTTTGATCAAAAATAAAAATATTTTAAATTATAAAGATAATAAAATGAATACATTTTTATATTTGTTTATTTTTGTTTTAAACATTTATGTCTAAATACTCAAGTAACAAAATATAAACAAATATTGTATACCTACACGGTCGGTACATGTGATAAATAATATAATTTAGTTTAAAGTTTTAACTTATTTTGATTAAAATCAATAAATAATTATATGTTTTATTGATTGGACTTGTTGAAAGCTAAAAAAATATCCACATTTACATTTAAAATTAATTCTTAGGTAATCAATGTAGAAAAAAACGATGGAAATATTTAATTTTCAAAGTAAGAATTATTTTTTTGGATCACAACTTACGTTTTCTTGTATAAATATAAGAGTAGCTTTTAAACTTCTAAATGATTTAACTAACAAATTTGATATAAAATATTCTAATATTTTAAAAGCTTTGTCTTTTGTTTTTTTTTTTTTTTTTTGAGTTAAATAAACATTTTACTGTTATATGCATTTACAGACTACAGCTATTAACCACTTGATAACAGGTTCCCAAAAAAATACTTTAAAAACATTATAAGTAGGGTCAGACATCTATAATTAATTAAACGTTATTAAACGATTTCTGAGATTTTACTGTATAGAAATCAGTGTGGTAAATATGAACAATTAAAACGTGCACAAATATAATATAGATTATTAAATTGGTACTTACTGGTGAACGAGGTAGTTAGGTAGTTTACTATTTTACAAGACTTACTTGACAATTTGAAATATTTTACGGAGTAGATGTGAATGTATTAGTGATATTTGAAACGTTGTTTAGCATTCATACTATTAAACAGATGGTGTGTGCTATATAATTTTATATAATATATATTATTATATCAAAGAATACATACGAGTATTTACCATGACACTAAAATACAGTATTCGGCATCGAGAATACTTCGTGTCACTTAAATATTATCTGGTTAATTTAGTAGCTCTAATTTTTAGCCACACTATGATATAATCATATGGATCATATTGCTTCTTATCAACAACATAAAACATTATCATACCTACCTTTTATACAGTTTTATTTCAATGGGTTAACGAATTGTTAGACTTTGTATTTCAACTGTAATAATGTAATATGAACGTGGTTCAGTTGAACAAATGGCATTACTATTGTACTTTTTTTCTTAGCATATCAACAATATATTTGGATATTTCAAGGAACGTTGTGTGTATAAAACATAAAGACTAAAAATTGAAAACTAATATGCTAGTAAAAATAAAGTAAAGTGTTATAGAAAATTACTCTTGGATGCGTTCTTTGGAGTTCTTAGAAATCGGATATCTCATGCTTAAGGTTCAATTGTTGAAGATACAATTTGTTGAGGACTTACGTATTATATTACATCTTTTTTAAACAATTTTTGTGAAAATCTTGACTTGCTATTTTTTCAGTCGTTAAAAAAAATAAAATACCTTTATTTTTAATCTATATCTATAATTTATAACTAATATTCTACGGGTATTTTATTGTAAAAATAAAACATAAGCGTTAAATAGAATTATTATATGTTATATGATATACCAAATTTAAATATAATTAGCGATGGTTGATATCGGTTTATAGTAAATATCAAATAAATATAGTTATATTTATTGCATATAAAATGTTATACAAAGTATTTATTTTAATTTTTTGTTTTTTATGAATCATAGAGCTAATTAATTAATGTATATTATACATATATTTATTTATTATAAATATATATTAAATACACCAATTAGTTACAAATCACAATCATAATACTATAATCGAATCGTATATAATATCATGTTAAATAATTGCATTTTAATTTATGTTACAAATTGGTATTTATAATAAATTATAAATTTAAATATGAATAAAGGATACGATTTCGTGTAAATATAATTAGGTAGTGTGAAGCGACAGTTAATGTATGCTAGCTCATGAATAATATTTTAATGGTAATTTTTATTTGATTTAATATATTTAAATGTTTATACATTATATGTATAATAATAGTGATTGGATAAAAATAATATTTGATACAAATAACAGTTACTAAAAATATATTTCATCCATGTGGCCGTGATAATATTATCTTATTTAAATGACTGATAAAAATGTTATCAAGAAATTATAATGTCACTCTAATATGTGTATGCATCTAATTCTAACCATATATTTTATTTAGTTATCTTAAGCAGGCTTACAAACGTTACAATAACGTAATATTTGACAAAAAAATGATTAACATTTGTAAATGTAATTATGATGGAAAACGATACGCATAAATAATTAAGCAACACAAAACAAACCATAACGATTAATAAAATATATGATATATCATCAAACAAAAAATAACGCAAAACTTTATGTATAGTATATCATTAAATAAAATAATTAATTTCCAATTATTTAATAGTCATAATTCATAAAATATATTAAAAATTATAATTCTGAATAACGATAAATGCAAAATTTGAATAACGTTTAAATTCTGAATGACGACAAATTCAAAATTTGTATAACATTTTAACTGTAAATAACGAAATAACGTATAACATTTTTTTTTCAAATACAACAACCTGATTTTAACTCATAAATAATTAGGTATACAGTTTTGCAAGCTTTATTAATATGTCCATATTTCACTGCTTAATTATTAATTATGGTATTTAATATACTACTAAATAGTGATGACTATATATTTTTTCAATACATTATAATTTTTTTTTACATGGCTAACAATAAATAAGTTATAAAAGTAAAATGTTATGCTAAATATTAGTCGTTATATTCATGTTCTTACAATGGATAAATATTCAATTAAAATAGTATTAATGACTATACTAATTTAAAACAATATTTGATAATTGTATGATTAATGCAAAATGAAGATCTTTATGTGATATATGATTAAGTAAATATACGCAAAAAAATAAAATTATGTAGATGTTTCTTATGTCATTAAATTTATGGAAACATTTTTATTTATTGAAAAACTATCAATATTGGCATTATTAATTATTGATAACCATTAATTCAATGTAAATGAAAACTAAATAAGTTGTTGAAACATTATAAAAATTTGTGATAACGATTTTATAATCAGATGATTTTAAATTGATAAGTCGTACAAGTAACTTGTTTATTTTTTAACGTGTCAAATTTATAATTTATTAAAATTATATTTGCTTCAGAAAATTTTAGTTATTCATTATTTCACGTTTAAATGAGTTATTGTAATGTTACATAAATTATATCTGTGAATTTGAGCTAACACTGAAAATATTTTAGATGATAGATTGTAATATAAGTTATCAAAATATAATGGCGAGTGAAAGAGTGTTGTAAGTGTAGTTTAACAGGTATTGTAAAAAATATATTTATTAAAATATAGTTATTATTAAGCATAAATTGATTTTAAAATTATAAATTTTAGCTAGTATTAACATACATAGGTAATATATTTTATTTAAACTATCAATGATGATATTGTTAAAGATTCCCTTAGAAAACGTTTGGCTACTTGCTTGCAAGTTATTATCTGTCTAATAAAAATATATGAATTTAAAATAAATGTTTATCGTCATTAGTATTATAAAATTCGATAAATGAATCAAAAAGAGGATATTGAGTAATTTAAAACACTTTATTTATTTAATACAAGTAATACATGTTTATTTATATAGGGATTAACTATATCTAATGTAATTCAATTTACAAATAAAATACATTTTTCAAAAAATTAAAATATTAGAATAAAATTATTTTTGATATGATATTTTTTATTTATTTATTGATAATTTGTTTTCTTATTTTATTTTAAAAAAACACATGTATGATTAATAAAAATAGGAACACGATGACTCTGCTGGAATTACATTCGCTGGAAGACCCTGTAACTAAAACAATAAGAAAATTGAACGTTAGATAATGTCTATAATATTATGTACAGTGGTATTAAAGATAATTTTAAATATTTTATGTTATTAGTGATTTAGATAATGTTTAATCTATAAAACTGTAAGTTATTTAATATGGGTCTCATATTTTTTGTTAAAATATTCTTAAAATAAATGCTGTTATTAGCTGTAGGATGAGTTTTATTTAACTTAAGTAAATTATTCTTTTAATATTATTAGCAATAAATTATTATGAAACTTAAAATCATTCCAACTCGATTTTTAAGTGTAATAACAACTTTAAGTATAATTATATAATTTTTATTTTCGATACTAATGTATAAATAAATGTAGTTTGTTACCAAGCAGGAGTGCTTCTCTTTTATCTTGTCTGGGCAACACTTTCTCGTTGTCACTAATCCATAGTACGGGTGATAATACAGCCACACACCTAACCCTTACTGCCCCATTCAATACGGTTTCCGCATCTAAAGGTAAATGCAACCCCAATGTTGTCGTCACAAGTCCTCGAGGGTGTTTTTGTGCTGGGAACCTCTTCAAATATTCTTCTCTCGCCTGTAAAACACACGCACACACGTATTATATGAACCTTATATATCTCAAAAATGAATAATAATAATAACAATAATAAATATATATTTATAGCACAGCACATCCACAATAATCGTGTGTATACGTGCAAAAATCATTATTTTCACCCCTGCGTTAAATATTTTTAAAAGGTTTTGTTTATCATAAAAAAAATGTATTTATCTCTCAAATGGTTTGTATATTTTAATAAATTCTTAAAAATAATGAGAAAAATTATTGGTTTTTATACGTAAAAGTACATAAAATAATAATAATAATAATAATAATAATCATAAATAATAATAAAATGTATGATACATATTATATTAATTTAAAAATATATCTAATAGCAATTGGCATTTAATTATTGTTTTGTTACTACAAAATAATCATAATATTATTTCCAACATTTGTAGAATATTATTAAGTAATAATTATTAAAAAAATAAGTTTTTTTGATGATTATAGCCTTGTTTTTTATTTTTTCAATTACTTTGAATTAAATTTAAAAAAAAATTTAATGTAATTTAATTTAATTTAATTTTTTTAATTAATTTTTTATTTTTATTACTTTCAGAAAGTCACACAGGTTTATAGTATCTATTTAAATGCGCACTCATGTTAAATACAAAAATGTCTGTTATTAAAGATAATTTTTTTTTTAACATTTATAAATTTTAAATTTAAAACTTATACTTTTTTTATTAATAATAACACATAAAATAAAAGCTAGATAAAAACCCAACACTTTGAAACCTTCCAAAATAATATTAAAACCGCATTTAAAATTAGTTAAGTAATAATTTAGCCCACAAAACTTATTTAACATTAAATGTACTTCCTTGGATAAAAAATAAACAATAAAAAGTAACAATAAATATTTATTTTACATTTATTTTTTAGATAAAAGTATGTAAAATCATTCATGATATTGTTGAACATTATATTATTAATAACTATATTAAATAAATAATTTAATTATAGGTGACCTGGATATATATTTAATTTCACTAAAAGATAGAAAACGCTAAAGTAAAAAATATAATAAACTAAGTATAATTTTATTCAATAGTGTTCATCAATATTTTTTAATGTATTAACATATAATAATAAAAATAAGAGTTGATGTTTTAGCGAGGAATTTACACTTCTTTTATACTTTTGTTTGTGTATCAAAATGATAAAATAATGAAAAACAATAACATTGAGTATCATAAAAATAAAATATGTTTAGTATTTCGATTGAATATATATATATATATTTAACCTCCGATATCAATAAACCTATTAAACCAATTGAAATTACATAATAACTGACTAAAAGTTATATTGGGTGTGTCAAAAAAAATGAAGACAGAGTTCGATAGGAATTTTTAAATTAAAGCACGCTACATTTCATTTGTCATAATATATTATCCTAAAAGAAAAATCAAATATTTCTTCTATTTAACTTTATGTAATATATATTATTTTAATCCAACTATTATATATTTTAAAATTAATATTAAATATATTTTTAAATTAATAATTTCAATTATTTTCCATTTTTAATTTAACCCATCATTGATCGATACGCAATATTTTTCATTGAGATTCAATCCCACAATCAAATGGATGAACAATAAATTCATTAATATTTTATATTTTAGTACCATATAACTGTAAAAATGTCTCAAATATTATTAATTTTATTGAAAAAAAAAAAAAAAAACACTTGAAATCACAAAAACAGACTCGTTGAAATCGGTGCTAAATACAAATAAATGTTTAATTTTAAATTCTTATAGTGATGTTCTATACGTTAGGAGTAGGTACCACAGGCCATAACCATCATGAAAAAATAATGTATTCTATATTTAAATATGTTTCATCAAAATCATTTTTTAGTTTACAATATACACAAATAAAAATTTAAAAAAGAGAAATTAGAAAGAAGTATTTGTGGTTTTTTTTTTTAGCTAAGAGTCATGAATAAATAATGTTAATAAATATAAATTGCTTATCAATTATTGATACTTTGAAAATATATTAAGTTATATTTAGTGATATTGACATATTTTTTAAGAATAATTTTATGAAATATAATACCTTACTAAATTTGGTTTAAATGTAATTTATAAATTATTCAATAAATGTGAGGTTTATTTATTGTTTATCAAACCGGATAATATTTTTTATTGCATTCATTTTTTGCAATTCATTGTTTTGATATAATAATGTTGTATATTAAAGTATACACTCTTTAATGTTTTAAAATATATTTATAAGATAAATTATTGATGACAAATGATTTTTTTTAAATATATGATTCATGGTTATGTATTTTATGGTAATTTTTTATTTTTTACTGATAATATATGTATAATGTATTTAAATGAAAGTCTTAAAAATCTTATCCAAACATTTAGACTGTTGAACTTATAACAAATAAACCTATACGTTAAATAAAGAAAATGAAAAATGTAATAGAATCTTGTTTGAACTACAAATATATTATTTTAAAATATAATATATTTATTATTTATTTCAAGTGTTCTCCAATTAAGTAAATAAAAAATATATAATTTTTTCATAGTTTTGTATATTTATATAAACAATAATCATAAGAAGATTTTAAAAACATATTTTGAAATTAAAAAGTTTTAGTTTAACCGGAAAAAGGGCGCCATGAACTTAAAGTTCTGCAAAACTACGGTAAATGATTGTTAGTATTTTAGTATAGATTCGATTTGGCGGGTAAACCTTTTTGTTAAAATTATATGTTATTCTTATATAATATTAAAGTGATGAAAATTTAAATCCCCGCCAACCTTTTTTGACTTCATAATTACGGTTCGTAAACCGGATTTTGGCATAAGGCACCCCCTTATATGACAAAAAACCACATCATGACCGAATGCGTGCATGAAGCTTGCGTGTAATAATCCTTTTCACCGGCACATCATATTTTAAACGCCATTATGCAAAAGACAACCTCGTTAAGAAATTCTCAAGTTATTTATTTGTTTACATTTTTTACCGGCGTTTAGAGCTTCTACACAATAATTTATTCTGTGTAAAAAAATAATTCTGTACAAAACAAAAATCATTAATGGGAACTAAATCATTGTATGCTTATCACAAAAAAATTCATATCTATTACAATATTATATTAAATAATTTTAATTAGTTTTTCACGATTTCAATTAATATTGTATATTGTTTAATTTATAATGTTATAATAATTGACTTAATTTTTGATACATTTTTTTAGAACCTTACGTTTTGTTAATTGGATTATAAAATTATTGATTTTTATTTATGAATATACTTACCTACTCAAATTAACTTTTAAATTACGATAAAATACAAACATTAAAAATTAATATTTCATTTTAGTTTCACATTTGAATGTGTAATATAATCATTGTACTATACTGTAATATACTTTATATTTATAGTTAATCAATTTAAGGTTTATGCACTCATATTGCCTATAGAATACCAAATAATACATACATTAAAGGTATAATGACATGTTTACCTAGGAGGTAATGAATTATAAAAAAGCCACGTTAACAATACATAGCGTAATGAGGAATGTGGCAATATTTCGTTTATTTTTTTTCTATATAAATGTTTGTTTATATTACAACACTCACCAGCCATCAAACCATTGCGGATACCTTTTTAAACGTATTTGATTAATTATGGAATCTAAATTTATGTTTAACTAACAAATTCTTGAATTACAATATTTTTATAATATATAGATAATAATAAAATCGCATGTAGATTCTATAACTGTACCAATAACAAATGAAAATGAAAACAGTTTAAATAAAATATCTAAACACATTTTTAAATTTTTAGTAGTATTTTCAGTTATAGATTTAAATCAAATGATTTTCATTTTGTAATACGATTTTTATTTTTCATGAAATTATATTCTAAAATTTTCAATATAATATTTACAAGAATCCCTTAACGAATTATTCTTAAAGTTATCAAGACATCCTAATTTCACCAAAAGTGAAATCAGTATGTTTATCTTGATAATATAGGTAAATTTATCCTTAATATAAGTTAACAACCAAAAAATGCAATATGGCAGCAAAAATGAATCAGTAAAATACTTAGAGATATATTTTGACAAAAAACTAACTTAGAAAATATATACCAGTAATAAAAATTTAAAAAGAATACATATAAACCTAAGCTGAAAACATATCTACCACAAGACATTTTTATTGAAAGATTAACCAAATAATTTACAAAGAAGATATTATTTATTTTGATTTGTGATTCGTATTTATTTGTATTTATTTTAAATGTAAAATTGTTTGTAAATACATAAATCATTCTAAAGCTTTATCTGTTTTTTTTTTTTTATAAATTAAAACGTACTCACAGACGTAATGTATGTATAATTTTTGGACCTAGGTAATAGTTAATTATTTTTGTAAATACTATTATTATTTTTATATATTATTAGATTTTATAGTATATAGAATATATTACTAAAAAGTATATATATATATATATATATTTATTTTTTTTTTTAATCATACATTAACTGAAATAGTATTACTAGTAGATATAGTGTCCGTCTATAAAATCTAATGTCTTTCAAGTTCTTTGCCAATATGAATGTGTAAGCTTTTAAAATATTTGTCAAGTCCAACGGACCGGAATTTATCCGTTTCACGTGTATCTTAGACGTGAGAGGATTACACGTAGTGTATAAGGTGGTGAAATGGATTTTCATTCAACTCAAAAAGCTAATGCTTTGTCACTTTATGAATGGTCGAACTAAAGGACACGCGTTTAAACGATATAGGTATTAGCGTATTTTATTCTATACTTATATAATACTTACGTTTTTAAAAATAAAATACAGATGATTATTTGTACAATTAGACCGTGTTTAATGTTTAATAGTTTTTGTTCAATAAAATTATATTTTATCTAAATTAAGTTAATACATTAATTTTAGTTGGATATTTCGAGCTCCAGCTTTAAACGTTATATAGTTGTATTATTAAGATAAAATTTAAAATTTTACCATTATATTGATGCATATCGAGTTATTAGATTTTAAAATTAAATTTTAACAATCAGCTACCTATAATATTTTTAACTTACCGACCGTTATAGGGTTATTTACGCGTTCACTGAAACTGTTTGGAACCAGCTCAAAAACGATCTATTTTAACTAATAAATAATGATTTTTAATATTGAGTTTACGTTCTACAAGTCACTGTGTATAAACAAATATATTTAGATAAATATATGAAAGAATTGTTATGTGAATTCACGAGCTAAGTTTCACTTGCGTGTTAGTATAGCCGCTATTTGGATAGCAATTAATTAAACATGCAAGTGTATACTATTAGTGAAATCTTGGTAACGGAATTCAACATGCGAAGTTATAAGGCTAAAGGAAACCTCAAAAAAGAAAAACAAATCCAAATCGGTTACGTTGGCGACGTCTTTTTTTTGTGTAGATTTATCTTTAGCGTAAATCCGATACAGCTGAGGTTGTGGGTTTCATTAGCGCGCGTACGTTCGTATACTGTCTCCGGTGGCAATAAAACCACCTCGGTGAAAATATCCAGTAATAGAAAAAATAAAGATTTTATTATTTTTCGCACCCGTAAATATATTATCTCGTACACTTTTTGAACGTTCAAGTTCAATCTAGCTATGGGTCGTAAAAAAAATTTGCTTTTTCTCTAAAAGCTATAAACATATTTTAACCCATTGGAAAATGATTTTGGATTAGATTTAAATCGCAAAGCCCGTTGCTATGTAGTTTCTTGTTTTAACCAAAGTACTCTTTAGTAACGATCAGATAAGCAAAATTCAGCTATTATAATATTATTATTATAATTAAATTGTTGTTATTAATTTAAACGATTCGTTGTTGTTTGTATGTTTGGAAATAGTTCCAAAATAAAGCTTGGATATAAATGTATATCTACTAAACTTTTGTAATTACAGTTTGATAATATTAAACTAAACGTCCAGAGGTGGACTTAAAAAAACTCATAGGGTATTTCAAATTAATGATGGAATGTGTAATAGTTGATCATAATAATATGTATTGCCTATTTTAATCATTTTGAAACTAAAATAATGATACCATCTGAATTGTAATATAGGTACCTATACTCGTTCCGCAGTATAAATACTCAATAGCTATTGTTTGATATTATAGTAAAATGTAATATTCTAAAAATAATATATAATCATAACAGTTTATTAGCACGTAATAAATGTAAATCATAAAGCGCTTTATTTTTTTTTTTTTTTTTTTTTTTGAGCTTAAAAAAGTATACACATAACAGTAAAAAATAAATTAAATATGTATTTATTGACAACAACTTTTCAAATTTAATTTTTATTAAGTTACCCAACAAAATGTAAGTTTTTACATTATATTAATAAATATATTTTCAAAGTTATGAATTAAATAACAAAAAGAGAAAAAAACTTAAAAACTTAAATGAAACATTTTTAAATAAGTTTAACGTTCTTTTGTTTTAAATTTAATGGTTAATTATCGTTAATATTAAATATCTATTATGTTACTTAATTATTTTATTTTATTATTTTCATACTAACGTATAGATTTTGTATCAATTATAAATATTTTATATGTTTTAGTATCATTCAAATTATATTTAATTTATCTAATTTACAGTTGAAATGTAGAGAAAATGTAAATAAAACTTAATTTGTTTGTTTTTAAATGTATTCAGTTTAAATTTGTAGTTACGTATGGAATCTAATTACAAGCAATTTCATACATCACGTTTATATTCAAATTTAAGTAATTTATACTATTTAAACTACAATAGTTTAATGCTATAGGAAAGGACACGCAACTATTTTCTATATTTTTTTATTTTCATAATCTACTAATGTTTTATTTATAGATTCTGGTTATATTTTGCGAATTCTCCTCGTATATAAAAAATTGTAAAGATAAAGTAAATATAAATGTATATAATACTAGATATAGAAAAACTATGATAAAATAAAGTTTTATTTTTATCTACATACAATGTAGTTTAAGTAAATCTTATATTTATATAATATACAAATCCATATAACTTAGACTTTTGAAGTAAAACAAAAGTATCGTTTTTCTATTTATTTTATATATAAAAATAAAAGATAGAACACGTCGTTATTGAATAAGAAAATATGTTTCTTATGATTTTACAAAATATGTTCTGAAGCAACAAATTTATATGAAATTTATACGTGTATTTACAAGTATATATGTTTATATATAAATTTTATAAAATCTTTTAACATAATATTAAATATATCAATAACTTACATTTTAATAACTATACTTACAGCTGATGTTTTTAACGTTTTTTTATTCCATTATAATAGTATGTATAAAGATATAGTTGCATATACATTTACTAGGTTAAATTTGTGTAGTTATTCATAAAAAAATTAATTCATATTATCGGAACGTGTAATAATAAACCATAAAATATAATTGTAATTGTATATGTTTATTTACAGTGTCGATTGAGACCAAACCGATGAAAAATTACAATAATGAAATTTTGAATAAAAATAAAATTGCTGTTACGGTACAAAAGGAAGATTTGGAATTTATAATAGTCGGTGAAATATGTAATTTTGTTCCGGTGTATTTTATTGGCACACACACACACACACACACACACACACACACATTATAGATATATAATGCAAAATATAAATATAGATGGTATCTGCATATAGTAATGTACATGCACCGTCTAGAGCACAAGGAAAGATGTTAGACGTAGTTTATGATAGTACAACATTATATTAATATTATAACCTGTTTTTGAGCAGACCATTTCATATCGGGAATATTATAACTGCAAAAGGGTCGTATGGTGTCCAGAGACCTTTATAGAAACACGAATCTACTACAGTTATCGAAAACGATGAAATTGAACAGAAACTATTTATTTATGGTTTATTTTCTATATTATAATTTTAACATGAATGATAAGTCAAAATATTTTATTTTTATTTTTATTTTTATTTTTTTTAAACAGACTAAATTGGTTTTAGTTTAAGCAGTAGAAAATAAAAATAAAACAATAATTCCACTAGTACAATATAATATATTAACATCTTAACAATGCAGATCACATACTTCATTGAGTGTGTGTTAATGAACTACTTAACAGTTTTTATTTTTAAAATTTTTCTTTTTTATGTATTTTTAAAAACCAGAATTCTAATAATTTTATCGGATTTTACTTACCGAAATGTTATTTATGTACCAATGAAGATTGGATGCTGGATAAGACTTGGCTGAAGAACAATTCAAATTGATCGTGTTACCAAATTGGTAAATTGATTTATCGCCAGTGATATACGGACCGTCTTTAGGCAAGTCTGAAAATAATATGAAATAAATGTAAACAAAATGTGGAATAGTTTGTTGTAACAGTTAAACATTAAATGAATTATTTAAAAACTATATTTCATCTAATTTAATTTTTCTTTTCTCGCGGAAACTAATCGACTTAACATAATCCTCAATATACTATCAGCTAAGTTAACTGTTACATAATATCAAACATTATTCCGTGACATAATATTCAAAATAACTTTACTTTTCGTAATGGAATTAAACGTTATAATCTAATAAATCATTTTTATTCCTTTATTTAATTTTATATTTCAGTTTTTTTTTTTTTTAATTTAGGTAATTTAAAATCACTTGATTGAAAAAACACCAATAACTATAATTTTCACATTTGAAACGTTTTAAAATATTATTCTATGCAGTAATTCATTTATATTGGCTATGCACAACGCTTCAGGGCTGTAAATTTATAGAAAAGTGCATTTTTTTTTTTTGGTGATTATAAAACATAGCTTTGTAAGTACATACTTTGAATTATATAATTACGAATCCATCTATGAAATTTTTATTTTGCATTTTTTTGCATTTTTTGAGGTTTTTAATTTTTTTTAGGTCATTTTTCGCATTTTTAGGTCATATTTTGCATTTTAAGGTCATATTTTGTTTTTTTTAGTTCATTTTCTAGTATTTTTAACCAAATTCTGTCAATTAACATGTTTGAAAACTTTTTTATTTTACACAGGCTGTATATTAGTTTATGTCAATTTTTTAAACTTTTTTATTAAATAAACACTTTTTTGTACTAATATCCTGTATCTAATATTAATATAAATATAAAAATTAAATTAAAAACCATTTAAAATGAATTTTATACTATAATTTTTGGCATTTTATATTCCTATTTTTGCATTTTAAGTGCATATTTTATTGCATTTTTTTTGGCATTTTTAATGCATTTTTTAAGGCTTTTTAGTGCATTAAATTCCCAGCCCTACTTATTATAGTGTTATATTTTTATATTTAAAAGAAAGCACATTTATATGATCATATGAAATTATAAGAGAAATTGGATAAGTAAGTACCTACTATATTTTTAATACTTATTTAGGAATTATAGATTTTTAAGATTAGAATTTGGATTGAATGTGCATCAGAACTAATCATAAAGTAAAATGAAAAATACTTTAGAGATTTAAAGAGTGTAGTTATCTGTTTTAATAATATTAATAACCACAGAGTTAATAGTGCAACATGAACAAATTATATGCAAGCTTGATGAAAGAGCTAGAAAATATTGTTACGAAGCTGCAACATAAACAAATATAAGTTAAATTTATGGGGTTAATTTTTAATGAAAAAAACATTAGTTTAGATAATAAAAAAAATGTAATTAATAAAGAAGTTAAATTAGTGAAAAATCCTTATTAGTATAATTGTAATGCTTAGAAAGTAGTTCAAATACCGTGTGACACATCTAAAGACGCTATTTCTTATTGCTTATTATAACTGAATAAGCATATGAAGTTTGCTTTTAGATCTTTAACTAAGATTGAACAGATGTAGGTTGGGAATTATTAAAAAATAGTTATTAATAACCACATTTTCAGTTAAAAGGTTTTGATATTTCATGTTTGGTTATAATGAGGTAAAATATATATAAAAATCACTTGTCATAAATTTTATTGTTAAAAAAAAAGTAGGAAATATTGAGAATGACAAATTATAAAATAAAGATAAAAATTAATGAATTACATTTTAAATAAAATATTTACTTGGTAGATGTATGTATATAGCAGACTAGTTGACAAAGAGTATAACAAAGAGACTCAATACATTTAGTGAAGAGGGCAGAAATTAAATATGATATAGAAAAACTAAATAAATTGAAATTAGAAACGAATGAAGATACTGTATTAAAAAGAGAGAAAGAGTGTTATTATAGATGATCAAATAAATTAAAAAATTAAAATAAGGTAATTAATTTTTATAAATTTTGATAAAATTTAGTATTTGAATGTGTACTAGTATAATTTTAAAATAGGGTGGTAATATAAAAAATTTCAGAAATATAACGCTTAAACATTTATACGGCAGTCATCAAGAAGTGTCATAAACTAAAGACTAGGCAAAATAGCATGTTTCTGAACAAGTATAATGTCTGGCATTATCAACTTAGTATTAGTATATTATATCAATAATAAAAATAATAGAAGTAATAAGAAAAAATGGTTAATGAACCATAAGATACCAAATATATCCTTTGATAAAGTGGAAATGAATGTAGCTTCTTAAGATGGAACGATTATATAATTGTAGATTATTTTTCAAGATAGGTAGAAGTCAGTAAACCAAGTAAACAGTGCAAATATCGTTAAGAAGTGGACAGAGATTTTTTAAGGTTCGGTATTCATATTATATAAGTAGCTGACAATAATATGCCATTTAATTGCTAAAATTTTAGATAATTTGAAAAAAAAATTGGAGAATTCAAATAAATTATACTAACACAGATTATTCTTTTAGTAATAAATTATATGAAAAGTATTATAGTATGGTAAAGAAAACGATTAAAAAGTATATTGAAACAAATTATGAACTAGAAAACTATTTGCTAAATTAAAAAAAAATATTCTATAAGTGATGATTGGAAATGTCCTGCAAATTTGTTATGAAATAAAATTTTATAAATAAAATTACCAATAAGAGATATACAAGTTGAAGCAAATGCAATAATAAAAGAAAAAATGATAAAAACCAAAAAACTGAAAATAGATATTTTAACAAAAGAATAACAGTAAAAGAAACTATATTTGAAGAAAGAGAAAAACTATGGTTACAAAATAAATTTGATAAAACATGGAGTGAGACAACGATAATAAAAAACTAGAATCACCAAGATGCTACTAGGTGAAAGATTGTAAGTGAAAAGAGTTGAGAAAAAATATATTTTTTCATAAAAAAAAATAAAAATAAAGTTTAAAATTTGATAAGGAAGGAGATAAAGGAAATGAATAATGAGGAAAACGAATAACTTTTGAAAGAGTGAGAAGGTAAGAGAGTACCAGTAAAAATTAAAGTAGCTAATTTAATATTAAAAACATTAACTATTACATGATGTAAGATATACAATCATATTAAGTAATATTATTTAGATTGGGATTAAAAAAAAAAAAAAAAATGTATTTACTAGTTATATTTAAATTGTATTATTTATATTGTTTTGTATATAATATATTATATATGTAAAGATTATAATATTATAAATAAAGATTTACGAGTAATAATATCATATTCATTAAACTTATTATCATTATTATTTTTATTATTATTATTATATTACGATAATATAAACAATACTAGTTTTGTTTATATAATATACATGTCCCATGCTTTTAAATAATGTTTTTAAGTTAATGTTGTCATCTAATATATTGTTGTATCTTGTATTATTATAATAAACATATATTATACATAATATAACAATTATGGTACTGAACTAAATAGATATTTTAAACTTTAAAGTACTTATTGTATTTTTTCATAAATATTCAAAACAATAAAGAAATTAATTTGTTTAAATATTGTTATTTTTTTTAAAATAAAAATATATAAAGCTTGTAATATGATTCATATCTATATTCTAACTATCCAAATGTCTATTTTATAACATTTTTAGAGTCAAAATATAATAATAATTATAATCATTAAACATAATTAAGTTGATTTTGTTCATATCAAAACATATTTTAATAATATTCTGATGAAACGTAAAATTAAAAAAAATAGTATTCTAATTAATTTTATATAAATACTTTTAATAACTAACTATTTTAATAAAACTTTTTGAAATAAATCAACCTAACCATAGTCAAAGTTATTTTAATTGTTGTTAGTGTGTAAATTTAAAAATATTATAATATTTTAAACAAATACAATATAAAATATACTGTGATTATAACTAAAATGCTTAAACATTTGTATTAAATCACGTTCTAGAACAAAAATTGATTTTTAAAATTTCTAAATATATTTTAAAACTTTATTTAAAATTTTTGAACTTTTGTTTATATAACACATATCTATCCTTCCTTGCTTATAAATATTAATAATTTATTGACATAATCTTTTGAAATTTTAAAATTACCATACCCCTATATTTTTCATGAATCTATTATGTAAATTTCACAAATTTAAATATGTCAAAAAATAATCGTTTGAAATTTGATTTTAATAAGTCAACATTTTCAAAATATCATCTGCTAAATAATTTACAGTAGAAAATTATTTTTAAATAATTCCTTTTGATCTTAATTGAAAAAAATTAATCTTTGCATTTCTATAGTTAAGTTATTACTTAGACAGTAAAAAAAAATCAAAAGATTTTTTAAATATAGAATTTTACTATGTTTAAAAATTCCAAAAATTAGATTTTGAATGACTTCGTTATTAAGATGAATAATTTTGTACAGATTTTTTAGTAAGAATTAAATAATCAAAAAAAAAAAGAAAAATTGTATTTATTGGTAGCTACTCATAATGAAATAAATTACTTTTACCATTAAATGTATCATTATAAAATATCAAAAATAACAGGCAGTTTATTCTCAGAATATTTTTTGTATACTACGGTCTATTATTTAACTAACATTTAATTTATCCATTACTTACTGAACAATGATGCTAAGTCAGTACGCACTACAGAAAAGCGAATACCCTGTTTTTTTTTTGTTTTTGTGCTAATGTTTGATAAATTTTGAATACATTTTTTACTCTTTAATCAAAACGCTTTATAATTCAATGCGAATTTCCTTATGCAATCTTTTTCACATAATTTAGTTTAAAAAGAAAAATATCAAAAATGCATATATTATAGGTGATTATAACTTTCACATGATATACATTTATTTCATAATAGAATTTCGAAATTTATTGATTAAATAATAAATTGTTATACTACATTAAATATCTAATTTTGCCCAAATTTAAAATACCAATAGCAACAAAACAGTTTTATATATTTTTAGGA